TGAAGAACTTTGCAGGAATTGTGCATATGTCACGTATGTCCTATCTGTTAGCAGTGTCCTATAGAATTCAAATTATGCAAGGAAACCTGTTTACTTTTAAGACTTGACCGTCAGACGCTATTGAATGAATGATTGACTTGCTTTGGTAATAAATAGAGCTGTAAGGGGTACATGAGCATTACATGCAGGCACGGATCCAGGATTTCTTAGGGGGGGGGGCAAATTTGAAATCATGCGAGCCAAATATTGGTACGTTATGGTGACCAGCAGTGACGTAATTGGGAGGGGGTGGGTGCAAGTAGGGGCGAGTTTCCCCCCTCCCTCCTCCGCGAAGCGCGGAAACTTTGACATTTCAAAAAATTATTAGAGAAAGAAGACGATTCGTTGTAACGTTATCGACTCTTAATCTTCGTCTAAATTCAGTCCCCCCCCCCTCCCGCGCGAAGCTTTTACGTTTCATTAAATCATTAGAGAAAGAAGACGATTCGTTGTACCGTTCTCGAAAATTCAGTTCCCCCATCCCCCTCCCTCGCGAAGCTCGGAAGCTTTTACGTTTCATTAAATCATTAGAGAAAGAAGACGATTCGTTGTACCGTTCTTGACTCTTAATCCTTGTCTAAATTCAGTCTCCTCCCCCTCCTCCCGCGCGAAGCGCGGAAGCTTCGACGTTTCATTAAATTATTAGAGAAAGAAGACGATTCGTTTTACCGCTCTCGAAGATAATCCTCGTCTGAAATTATTTTCTTCCTCCTGCGCGAAGCGCGGAAGCTTTTACGTTTTATTAAATCATTAGAGAAAGAAGACGATTCGTTGTACCGTTCTCGACTCTTAATCCTTGTCTAAATTCAGTCCCCCCCCCCCCCCTCCCGTGCGAAGCGCGGAAGCTTCGACGTTTCATTTAATTTTTAGAGAAAGAAGACGATTCGTTGTACCGCTCTCGAAAATATTCTTCGTCTGAATTCAGTTTCCCCCCTCCCGCGCTCCCTCGCTACGCGTTTTTTTGGGGGACCACCCCACCGCCCCCTGGCTACGCGCCTGCAGTCAGATGAACTTATGTTGATACCTTGTCTGCCCCCGGAAGTTCAGGGGTTTTAGGCATTTAATTACGGTCAGATGAGCATTATTTTGATACCTAATTGTGACATTTGCAGGTCACTAATTGGCGTGGGGTTCAGGGGGCGGAGCCCCCGGAAACTCAAGGGTTTTAGGCACTCAATTACGGTCAGATGAGTATCAAGGGGCCCGCCTTGAGGCTTTCGTTGGGGTCAGGGGGCAGAGCCCCCGGAAGCTCAGGGGTTTTAGGCGTTTAATTACTGTCAGATGAGCATCTAAGGGCCCGCCTTAGGGCCCTAGGTGGAATCCAGGGGGCTGAGCCCTCGTGGTTTTAGGCATTTAATTTAATCATGGTCAGATGAGCATATTTTGATACATCATTATAATGTGTCACTGGCAGTTAACTATTTTTTCTTTCTTGCTCTCTTTCTTTCTATTTCTCTTTAATATACTTTTTCAAAAAAAGTGGGGGGGGGGGGGGGGGGGAGGCTCGAGGATCCCGATCCCCGCCGTTCTGCGGGCCCTGACATGTAGGCATCTCAAAAAGCATTTTCTTGCCTGGCCGTAAATTTAGGAATTTGTCATTTTCCAACAAACGCATACAAAAGTACAATTTACTTAAAAGTGATGAAAAATCTCGGAAAATTATGTCATTTCAACATTATTTGTAAACCACCGTTATGGAATTAGAAATAAACCAACGTTTGAATTTTATTTCCCCAAAGCCCCCCCCCCCCCTCCCCTATCAGTACGCCAGTGCCCCCCCCCCCCCCGATTTACACCTTGTTGACGAGAAAATTACAACTGATATCCCTTACCTTTCTTCATTCTCTTTTTGCTCTTTCCCTTTCCCTTCCCTTCTCTCTCTTTTAAGTTTGCCTGGGGGGGGGGGGGGGCAAGGTCATTTTGGCCCCACTCCGCTCCACACATTGTTGACTGATCTCCCCTTCTTTTCTCCCTTTTCTTTTCTTCTTCCTCTTTTTTGTTCCCTTTTAGCTCTCCTCTTTTCCTTTTCCTTCCTTCTCTTTTTTTTTAACGCGGGGACGGGGGGGGGGGGGGGGAGGCAAGGGCCTTTTGCCTCCACCCCCCCCCCCCGATCGGGAAAATTGCAATTGATATCCCCCTTCTTTTCTTTTCTTCTTCCTCTTTTTTCCTTCCCTTTATCTCATTTTTTCCTTTTTTTCTTTCCCTTTCCTTCCTTCTCTTTTATTTTTTGATTGGGGGAGGGGGCAGCAGCCTGGGAGGCAATTCCTTTTGCCCCCCCCCGATCTCCTTCTTCCCTCTTTTCTTTTCTTCTTCCTCTTTTTTCCCTTTTTCTCCTCTTTCCCTTTTCCTTCTTTTCCTTTTCTTTCTCTCCTTTTTTTCGGGGGGGGGGGCAAGGCCCGCTCGCCCCCCCCCCCTGGATCCGCGCCTCTCTACATGTACTAAATGTACATTTGTCTATTATATAAATCAGACTAATTAAACGAGCGTGCTCGCTAAATTCAATTCGACAACTAATGATCATTATTTTCTCACAAAAAGACATTTTCAAACCTTTTGGTTTTGAAGGAAGTTCTAAATTATTATTATCATTCAAATTACGTTGGAATTTAACCTCGTCATTATTTTTGGCCTGCACATAGGACATAATACCGTTTTAACTTCAATAAACTGTATTGTAGTTGGATGGTGAAAAATTAATATTCCAGTTTATCCATAGTCAATGTACATGACCGTAGGGTGGTGAAAAGTTAGCGTAGGGTGGTGAAGAGTTAATATTCCAGGTTATCCATAGTCAATGTACATGACCGTAGGGTGGTGAAAAGTTACCGTAGGGTGGTGAAGAGTTAATATTCCAGTTTATCCATAGACAATGTACATAACGGAAGGGTGGTGAAAAGTTAGCGTAGGGTGGTGAAGAGTTAATATTCCAGTTTATCCATAGACAATGCACATGGCGGTAGGGTGGTGAAAAGTTAGCGTAGGGTGGTGAAGAGTTAATATTACCATTTATCCATAGACAATGTACATGACGCTAGGGTGGTGAAAAGTTAGCGTAGGGTGGTGAAAAATTAAATATTCCAGTTTATCCATAGACACTGTACATGGCGCTAGGGTGGTGAAAAGTTAGCGTAGGGTGGTGAAGAGTTAATTCCAGCTTATCCATAGACAATGTGCATGGCGCTAGGGTGGAGAAAAGTTAGCGTAGGGTGGTGAAGAGTTAATATTCCAGCTTATCCATAGACAATGCACATGACGATAGGGTGGTGAAAAGTTAGCGTAGGGTGGTGAAGAATAAATATTCCAGTTTATCCATAGACACTGTACATGGCGCTAGGGTGGTGAAAAGTTAGCGTAGGGTGGTGAAGAGTTATTATTCCAGCTTATCCATAGATAATGTACATGACGCTAGGGTGGTGAAAAGTTAGCGTAGGGTGGTGAAGAGTTAATATTACCATTTATCCATAGACAATGTACATGACGCTAGGGTGGTGAAAAGTTAGCGTAGGGTGGTGAAGAGTTATTATTCCAGCTTATCCATAGATAATGTACATGACGCTAGGGTGGTGAACGTTAGCGTAGGGTGGTGAAGAGTTAATATTCCAGCTTATCCATAGACAATGTACATGACGCTAGGGTGGTGAAAAGTTGAGATCGTGAAAAATTATATCCATAGAAAATATGTACATGACGGTGACATAATGGTGAATAGTTTATGTGATTTGGTATTTAAAGAGTCAATGCCCCTTTTCCCAGAGAAGGCATATTTATTTATTTATTTATTTATGCATGCATGCATGCATGTTCACAATTTCACAATTCATTGAAGTTAACATCGCATGAAAAATGAATATAAAATAATATAACAAATCATTTCAATTTTACAATCCATTTGAATTGACTTCACATGAAAAAGAATATAACAATGATTTATCATACACACGTTGCAACTAATATACAGTTTGAAGAAAGAACACACAAAGGTGATGAAACATAAGCAAATAGAGCTTGAATCGTGTACCACCTTTCAAATATATAACATAGACTATGACAAATAACATTCATGCATGACTTATAATTATGGTGCGGGGATATATTGCAATTCTATTGTAGCTGAAATTTCATCTACTGTACACCTACAGTGAATAGATCTGATTTTTATTAGTATTCAATATAGGTAACTGAAATAGCATTGTCCCCCCCCCCGTGTTGTACATTATCCTCCTTCCCCTATTTCTTTACTTTACCATTATCTTTATTCTGTTTTCTTTTTTAGTCTACCATATTTTGTAAATTAGTGGTAGATCTGATATTTATTTATAGTCTGTATAGGTAACTAGATTAGTATTAGTCCCCCTCCCCCTGTAATATAACCTACTTCTTTAAAAAAAATGTTGTTTCTGTAAAGGTGATCTGTGTTTTAACAAGCTGTGCTTTTTTAACAGACCACCTCTTTTTCCACATTTGTTAAAGTCTTTATAACTGTTTCATTGTTAATGTTTTTATGCTAGTTTACGATGAACTTGTTACTACTGTTACTGAATGAAATGTTTTTTTTATGCAAGTGGAAAGAAATAAACAAATCTTGAATCTTGAATCTTGAATTCAAAAGAAGATAATAACTTTTTAATTTCTAACATACATGAGGTGAGGTCTTAGTATAATTCTTTGATTTGCCCCTAAGTACTGCGCCTACCCCCCCCCCCCCCCCCCTCCATCATCTACTCTTATTATCCGACCACCATGCCTATTTTAATTGGTAGCCAGCCATCGTTGCACTGATCATGCCTGACGGATACAATACACAAAGAATATATTGCGTGTGTATAGTATAGCGGTTGTATGTGTAAAATGCGATCCTTACACTTATCAAATTGGCAATGTTTACACATTGGATGGGCTACCTTCATCTCCGATTAGGTGTGTGAAGAAAAGCTTCACCCATATATAACTGTCGGTTCGGTTAGACTAATAACCGTAGTCCAGTGTCGTGTGTATTTCCAATGGCTAATGTCGGATAATTATCAACGGATATGGATATGCGTGAAATTGTAACCGAATCACACAGCAGACAATGGCGAAACAAAAAGTGACAAATGGTGAGGATCCACATCGCCTCAACTTGGCTTATCAAGACATGGAAGAGCTTCCAGAAAACATCATTCAGCATTATTCTAAAACTACATTTGTCTTAGATCTGAGCTTCAATAAATTTTCGTATCCTTTTGTGAAGTTTCAAGAAAAAACAATTTTTCAAACTTGTTTTGATACCCGGCCCAGGCCATTGCATTGGGATTTGTGTGTCTGGACAGTTGATTTAAAAGTTACAGCAATTTGAAGAAGTTTACAAGCAATATTGCATTAATCCTTTAAGACTTTATATGTTGGAAAACATGCTTCAAAAATGGATACGGAAGTACACTAGCGCCGGATAACTATCCATGATGGTTAATGCTATTTGATTAATACTTTTCAATTTGACAAAGTGAATGCAAAAGAGAAGGCTTTATCATAAGTTCAAAACACTGAAAATGAAATTGTTTAGAGGTCTATATCAGGTTTGTTAGTATTAAGTCATGTCCAGACATCCAACCACCCCCCCCCCCCTCCCCCACCACCACCAGTGAGTGTTTTTTCCTTGACATAAGGATACCGCAATGTGATAGTTTATCAATACATAATTTTTTTGTTTATTGTGACGAGGAATTTTAGGCAAAATACCTTTTCTCAGCAAGTTTTTATTCTAGAGTCTCATAAATACTTGTTATAGACCTATAATTGATTTGATATTGAAAATATAATTTGGAAGAAGTAGAGAGAAAATAATAATGCACATAGGTATGATGGTATCCTAAGAAAAGACTATGGATCGACTATCACTATGGGGAAATTCCACGGTAACGGAAGGACACTCAGACAAGATTTTTGAACTTCAGGTTCATACTAAAAGAAATGTTTTATTAGTATGTATTAAACTATGGGGAACAAAATGTGTTTCAGTCAAGTGGAAAGCTTCATCAACTTCACAAAGTTTGGATAAACACTAATTAACTGGAAAAACCATGTCCATTTTTATGTCCTTCCGTTACCGAGATAATTAATATGCACATTCTTAAACTACTTAACTATAATGACAATTTTTTTGGGGAGAATTAAAGGCACTTATATAGGTATTATATCTGTACTGTTTCACATCTTATACTAATAAAACAGTTCTTTTAGTATGAACCTGAAGTTCAAAAATCTTGTCTGAGTGTCCTTCCGTTACCGTGGAATTGCCCTATGGACAAGAAGGCGAGTTGGCTCAGTCGGTAAAGCGTCTGCCTGTTGAACCAAAGATCCCGGGTTCGACTCCCATCAAGGCGGATGACTGAAGTCTGCGTTGTGTGTTAACGTGCCCCTTCCCTTGTTCATAGACGCAGGTTATGTCAAGTGGAAAACACTCTGTCCCTCGGATAGGACGTTAAATGGAGGCCCTGTGTACAGGAGAGTCACCACCCTTGCACGTTAAGAACCCATTGCACTATTCGTATAAGAGAAGGGGGAAACCCCGGTGTAATGGTCCACCTGCACACCCCAATCAGGCCGAGTATACGCAGAGCTGCCAAGTCTCCCGGATCCTGCGGGAGACTCCCGGATTTTGACCCAATATCCCGTTTTCCCGACCCCATGCAAAAATCTCCCGGATTTCCAGATTTTAAGTTGTATTATTTTCATAAACGACTGTTTCACAAGACTAGCATGTTGAGTTCGTACGTACGTATACAAACACACGGCAATTCTGTAATATGAATTTTCCTGTTATCCAGTCGTCGAATATAAATTTACCGTGATATCGTACTTTATTTAACAGCGTAATAAATGAGAGTTACGCCGAACGACTGGCGGGCTAATCTAACAAACCATTGGGAACATGTGATAATGTGAGTGGTGTTTGTGTGATAGCAATTCGCCTGCTTGCTCTGCCGGGCGGCTTCCTCGCCGGCCCCCGTAGCGTCCCGGTACGTTGGTGCCGGTTTCCGATCGGTCGCGTCAGAGCAGCCAGAAGTTGCACTGATACAACAAGCAGACTTTGTCTGCTGCGATCGGCCCAAAAAACTGCACATTTCAACATCAGTTTTTGGATTGATTTGGGGACTTTTGCGATGTGATTTTTAAGTGGATTATCATTTGATACCAACATGGCAGTGTTACTGCAGAGTGGATTTTGAAGCCGACTTTTTTTTTCTGATCTCCTTTGCCGTTGGGAACGCATCGATATAACTTGCATCTTCCGAAGGCGTAAGTCAACTTTGTCCAAAACAAGGCTGTATTTTGCTCTCTGTTTGAGTATTAAAATATCATCCAGGACAATGTCGAAGTCGAAATATTATCAGAAATATAAAGATGACTACCACTTGGAATGGCCTTGTGTTGGGAAATCTACGAAAGGCGAATACTACGCATTTTGTACAGTTTGCGGCGCAGATATCTCCATCAAGAGTGGGGGAAGAAATGATGTATTTCGCCACATCACATCTGACAAACACAAGCAAACCGCGAAAGCAAGGGGCAATACAAAAGGAATACAGAGCTTTTTCAGGTTAGTATGAACAGTTCTTAGATTTGTAAAATCGAGAAATAGTCTACCCCTCTATACCATAGACCTGAGTTCATTTCGTCAGTAGTTGGGGACCTCATTAATCTCCCTAAAACTTAGACTTACTCATAAAGCCAACAGTGATTGTTGAATGTTCTGATGTCAAGAAAGTGCAGTATGGTAAGAGAGATTGCCAGAAGTCAGATAAAGATCTAATGATTGGAAAAGATGCCAAGGAATACCTGGAGAGTACAACAAGCCCAGAAGATGATTCTCCCCTTCGTCTTACAGATGCTGATTTGACATACTTCTACTTGTCGGTGAGGAAGTATTATGAATCAGCATGTGACTATGCCTTGAAAACCTGGCCACTAGATGTTAAGTTCCTTAAGGAGGCTGAAGTGATTGATGTCAGTTCCAGAAGAGATGTGTCATTTTCATCTGTGCAATACTTTGTTGAAAAGTACCCTTGCATTTTGAACAGACAATCAGAGAATGGAGACCTGGACAAGCTTGAGCTGGAATTTGCACAATACCAGGTTGAAGACTTTTCAGGGGAACCAGAGATCCTGAACAAAAACTTGAGAATAGACCAGAAATGGTCTGCAATTTCAAAGATGGAGGATGGCAATGGCTCAAAGAAATACACACTTCTGAGCAAAGTGATGAAATCTTTGCTTGTGATACCACATTCCAATGCTTCATGTGAAAGAGTTTTTAGCATTGTTAGGAAGAACAAAACTGATTTCAGGGGATCAATGAATTTGAAAACACTTCAAGCACTCCTAACAGAGAAAATTGCCAACACAGATGTCCCATGCTACCAAAGGGAGTATAGCAAGGACCTCCTTAGCAAACTCAAGCAAGCAACCTACCAGTCACTTCAAGGAAAACCCTCAAGCACACCCCAGTCCTTGCCTTCCACAAGTACATCCCCCATTTCACAATAGAGGTAACAGGAGTTCATAGTCTGAAATATGATGTGAAGTTCATATGTTATCAATTGTATGCAAATAAAATGTGCCATATCAAAGCCTTCCATTTTGAGAAATCATTGAAAAAATGTGTTCTAAAAGGGTTTCAAAGAGGCTTAAAACCAAGAGCTTTTGGGGGCCTGCCCCCTGCCCCCCCCCCCCCCCCCACCAGGGGCACTAAAAGGCCATTCTTGGTTCCCGCCAACAATGAAGTCGTTCGATGCTGCTCTCTCAGAAATCTCCCTGATTACCCAAATCAAATGTTGGCAGCTCTGTATACGGCATCTGCAAGAATCTTCAGTATTGAAGGAGGCAGATTATCTTGAAGAAGAAGAAGAAGAACATTCTTATCTCTTTTATTTATATGTTATGTTTAACGATTTGTGATTTAATGTTTATATTCAGCTTTTTAAAATTTCTGTATAATTTGTATTATCACTTCTTTACATTTGCATTTCGCATCCCAGAATATATGTACCGAACTTGTCTATATTTTTCTCAAAATGATAGTGAAACTAATCGTACATTTCGCGGCCCATGGAATAGCAACAAACTGACTTGTGATGGCGCTTTACAGCAATTAAAAAGATATGACGGGTTCTGAGCAGTGACAACTCATTGTCGCGGAAGTTGTCGCTCATCTTGGCAAAGACGGCTTCGTGAAACACTTAGCTGACAAGTTGCGTGACAGTGTCGAGATGTCGTTGATCTTGTAGTTATGATGGTTTCGAGAAACGGCCCCCTGGTGTTAATCAGCAGTAGCAGGTCATTAACTTATAATGCTTTTTTTTTTACAGATGACCCCTATGCATCTTTAATAGCAGATAGTTTGTTAGATAATCTGTCGAAACTGGTTGTTCAACTTTTTGTATACCTTTCCTTAATTCAGTATTAAATTTCAAACAGAGAGCTACGAACGCTAGAGGGCTTTGACAATATTCACACCCTAATCTTGGACAACAATGAGATCAAGTCACATGCCAAGTTTCCTCCAATGCCTTGCTTACACACGTTGTGGGTCAACCGTAATAACATCACCAACTTGACAACATTCATCGAGACCTTGGCTCAGCACTTTCCCAAACTCAAGTTCCTGAGCATGATGAACAACCCTGCTGCTCCTAGCTACTTCAATGGAGGCACCTTTCAGCAGTTTCAAGACTATAGGTAGGCTTTGAGTTTGAGCAACCAAACTGTTTTCTTCCCCTCGCTAACCAGTCTTCTTTTGACGCCTTCAATTAAGTTTATGAACCCTACATGTAGATTGATGTAGATTCTTCCCAGGGTTATGAAAATGTCTTTGTAAAAACAATGCATTCACAATTTTGTCCAGAGAGACTTTTTTTTTGCTGAAAGTTTGAAGGCATGCCATTTAATATAAGCCCCCCCCCCCCCCCCAAGCAATCTATCAAATCCTTTGCCTTCTATAGTGTAATAGTTTGTCAGTTAAGTGTCCCCATTAAGGCCCATATAGGCCCAATAATTAGCACTTTAAGAAGATCATATTTCAAGAGAGCTGTGAAAGTGAAAGTATGAAAGCTTAAAAAGAATATGTTGGCCAGGATTGAAACAAAATTTGTTATGGATATTAAATTGGGGATTTCCCAATGAGTTCAAAATACTGGAAGTTATTGTTATCAATCAGTTGCCATTCTATTTTGGCAGAATCAGGTAAAACAAAAAATGACCATGTCAGGTAATTTGACTACCGGTATTGTGAAGATAAAAAAATCATTTAATTAATCTTAGTTCGATAGAAGTCATTTTGATAAAATTGATTAACTTTGGGTATTGTTTGACTGGAGAGCATTATTGACATGTCAGAGATTTCTTTTCCAGGCAGTATGTGATCAGCCAGCTTCCGATGCTAGAGACATTAGATGATCAACCAGTCACTTGGGATGAGAGACAAGAAGCAGAACGGATATACAAACAGATGTTCACCACCAAGCAGAGATCTAAAAAGGTGAATTAAGACTGTCTCTGTGGTTATTTGACTCAATCTAGCCTGTTTGATAAACTAACGTCAGAGAGAGACATTTCCACACAAGTGTAAAGAGTATAAACAACTTTAATAATAGCCTTGCTCTTGTAAAATAAAAACAATGGTCAAGAGGGTGTCTACATGTATACATACACAACTATTACATACCTGGGTAAGCAATAATTTGCACAGTACAAGAGTGCCACGCCCGAATGGGTGCCTTGACGCAAACATGATAGTATGGGTAACTTGATGTAGACGTGTCTGTTAGACTACAGTTAGCGAAAGATAGATGTATATATGAAAAGAATAAATGATACAGGCGTAGATTACAATTTTTGTACATTGCTGTTTTGAAATATTTTCTTGCCGAATCAAGATAATGCCATTCTTGTCATCTTCTTTATCAGAATGTTTGATGAATTTGCAAATTGTAGTTTATGAGGATTGTTACCTTTGTGAAATACCGGGTGTGTTCACACAAAACCATAAAAAGCATAAACAGACATCACATTCCAGTCAGGGATTTTTGTAATGGCTTTGATATAACTGTTGTATGTATGCTTTTCTCTCTTGTGGCCAGAAACCATCCACTAAAAAGTCCAAGTCAAGACGGCATTCCTCAGGTCAGGAGAGCATGGAGGAGACTAGTGGTGCAATAGACTCTTTGCCTGATCTACCTGATCTCATTGGAGACACATGATGCAAGCTACCGCCATCCTCTAAGCATGCATCTATGCAAATGAGCAGATGAAATAACTCTTACCTAGTGACAAAAGGATGCAGGGGATGAATGATCTCCAAGGAAACTGCAAAATTCTTGTTCTGTCTTCTCCAAGTCCTAACTCAAGACGCGGTCTTCAAAATTACAATGTACACATCTCTACATAAGATTATGTATTTTTACTATACCTAGGAGCATTTGCAATATGTGTATTTGCAACTCGTAAGTAATGGCATCACAGGTTTTTTACATGCTATCACCTTGCAACTTTTCAAAATATGATAGCCATTGCTTTTGCTATGTCAGACATGTTCCAGCATTGCCTGGAGAGAAATATTGTGAGGTGGAAATGGTGTGAAAACCTGTGTTGCTATTTGCAACTCATCATGACACAACTCCGCTAATTTTCAAACCATACATGTAGGTTAGATTCCTGCATGCTACTGCTTTAATTGGACAGATACAGTTGCATGTAGATAACAGTTTGAATGTAGTTGTGAGCTTGTTTGCTTACTGTGTAAGCATTTATTCTTGACAAATTTATCCCAATTCTGTGTCTTAAAGTATTGCTAAAAATCGTAAATTGAAATTATTATATATTTTATAATGAAGTACAGATAATTTGTTTTTGTTAATTTATCTTCATGTACCCGGTGATTTGGGTTATTCACAATATCTTTTAACATTCCATATGAAATATCATTACACAACTGGTAATCTACATTCAGAACTTCTTGATAGGTTGCATAGCCCTTTGAAGATAAACAATAGAAAATAGAAGAAAAAAGTTAGAAACAGGCACTAGAACTATGTCTAAACTTTTATGTATAGGTATCTGCTTTAAGTCTATCTGTACTAGTTTGGCCAGGAGGGATTAGAATTATTAGACCTCCCTGCATGGTCACTGACAGGTGGTTATCACATCAACTTAGCTCTCAGTAGAACAGTTGGGCTTTAAAGTAGGGCCTTTAAAGCTATGAGATTATTAAAAAGTGTAAGTTGTTGTTGTTGTTTGTTTTTGTTTTTTGTTTTTTTTGGGGGAGGGGATTGTTGGTGGTAGAAAAGCATTAATTAATTTCCTGTATCGATGTGACTCACTATTGTGCATAACTACCAGAATGTAATCATTCATTGACTAGATTGAGGCTATAGCTTATATTTATGATTTGTTCATTTTGTTGTATTTATAACCATGGCTTGTTGTATGTTACATAACATCTCTTCTATGTTTATCTCTCTATAGTCTACTGAATTGTGCTTTGACAAGTTATCATTTTTAAAAAAATCTTTGACAAAAATTTGTTGCTGAAAATTTGTTCAGTCAATCTGTATTGAAAATATGAAAACTTTTAGTATTACTTACATCTTTGTACAATTATCATCAGTACTTAATTTTTCAACAGTATTTGTAAATTTGCAAAACTAAGAACAACAATCTTGCCGGTCATTTGAGTCGTATTGAGCCTTCAACTGATCATATAAACAACTGAAGTATGATTCGCATGATGCAAATGATGCAGCTAGTTAAATAATTATAGTATTATACCATCTATCAGCTTCATATGATAGGTGCCTATACAGCCTCAATGAGAGCTGATAGATTGTATACAACAAAACTCTTGGCTCCTTACTGGAAGCAAAGAGGAGCCATTTGAGACTGCTTTATTCCATTATTGATAGCAAATAAATTCCAAGGTCAGTGGCTTGAATTTACTTTAGCGCACCAATACCTCTAAACCTGTAAATGTGCAGTGCTCTACGCATGTATTAATACACCACAGTATAATTGCATTAACCTCTACAAGTACTGCTGTGCATTGTAAACTTAAAAGTTGAATGATAGTACTGGAAACTATTACATGCTTTTTCATGAAAAAAAATGAAATGTGGGATAGTCTTTGTGACAGTTCGACCCATCATTTGATTGAGAATCTAGGTGTGAGTTGTATATTCATGTATCTATCTTTTATCTACAATTATGCTTCCTTGCATAGTATACAAGATATTCTTCTATACATATTCTTCAAGGTACTCTTTGTGTCACATGTGATGAATAATGTTGTCAAAATGTTTTGTTCTTTTTGTACTTTTCCTGCTGTACCGAGATAGAATATGTTTTATTCCCCTTTAAAAAAAAAAAAAATCTAATATACTGCCAGCAGATAGATAATGCATGTATTTTGTGCTTGATATGAACCTACAATGTGCAATGCAATTTTCTATTAAAATGGCAGGCTGATGTTCAGATACAATAACAGTGATACTAATTTTACTGAATGAAATTATAATGCCTTTTAATCTATTGAATATTATAGAGGTGGTTTCAGTTTTTCTCTTTTTTTGTGAAAATTGCATTATTGATATTGTATTTTATACATTTGTAAGAACCAAACTGCAAGAATTCATCATCATATATGTGTATTAAATCATCATCATCTTTATATATGTGTATTGAACACTTCTAACATTTAAAGAACTTGTAATATATTGGTCAATTTTATAAGAAAAGAAAATGGCATTAAATGTTTATTCATATACCTCGACACAAAATGTGATGCTTCCATTTTATTGCATCCTGGGTTTGAAACGAAGTAAGAAGCCACACACACACACACACACAAAAGAAATACATTTTGAAACTGTCTAACTTTTAGAAAGTGTAGAAAAAAAAATTAGTTTTCATTTTGAATCCTCTATGTAAACTCATGGCAGGACCAACAATCCCCACCCCCCTCTGAAAAGAAGAAGAAGAAAATAAATAATAGGAAAAAAAGCAAATGAAAAATTGTTTCTTTTATATACTAATTCATAAATCGTAGCTACAACAGTACACTGGACTGGAAAATTACCCTTTTAATTTGAAAAACATTTTTATATTGAAACCAGGGCCCAGTTACATGATAATGCCTAAAAAAAAATGTAGAGCTGAAATAAGTTATTAAAACTGGAGGTCTAATCTGATGCCTAGTGATATTTTTAATGAAGTTCCACAGTATTACAGACATTGCGTTATCATACATATTCATACATTTTGCTTCTCAGTCCTATTACAGTAAGAGTTCTTCTGTAGCAGGTGCGGATCTATGATTTTCCAATGGGGGGGGGGGGGGGGGGCGGAAATCTGAAAATCGCGCAGACCGTTATTTCAACTCGACATACCAATACTGACAAGGTCATATCAGAAGCACCCTATTTACCGGTAGGTACCTACAAGTAGGCGCGGATCCAGGGGGGGGGGGCGAGCGGGCACGGGTCTTGCCCCCCCCCCCCCCTCGCAAAAACAAAAACAAAAGAAAGAGAGAGACTGAGAGAGAGAGAAGGAAAAGAAGGGAAAGTAAGAAGAGGAACAAAAAAAGAAGGAGATCGGGGGGGGGGGTCGAAAGGGCCCTTACCTCCCAGCTGTTATTCCCCCCCCCCCCCATCAAAAATAAGAGAGAAAGGAGGAAAGGGAAAGAAAAAGGAAAAGGGGAGATAAAGGGAAGGGAAAAGAGGAAGAAGAAAAGAAAAGAAGGGAGATATCAGTTGCAGATTTTCCCGCCAACAAGTTGTAATTCGGAGGGGGTGGGCCAAAAGGCCCTTGCCTCCCCCACCCCCCCCCCCTCCAAAGGGGGGGGGGAAGGAAAGAGAAAGAGGAGGGCTGAAAGGGGGTGTCGTAGCTAGTCGAGTGGTTTAAGGCGCTTGACTGGAGATGCGAAGGTCGAGGGTTCGACAGAACCTTAATTTACCCTGTAGAATGAAACAGAAATTAACTTTACTGTGCATTTATTGTTCCATAATCAATGCAGAGAAAGAGTTCACCAATGTTGTTGTAGTATAAGAAAATGTATACATGGACTGAAGTTACTGTTGTACAATACAAATTAAATTTTGGCTTTCCTGGTTAAGCTATAAAGCATGATGCTGAAGGTTTCAATGGGTACCTAAAACCCTGATCAGGGAGAGGGATTAATGTCTGACTTTAAAGCATCTAATATTCGAAAGCACCTGTTATGTTGCCAAGAGGGACGACAAAGAAATGACTTCAGTAGATTTGCATGATAATGTCCCAGAATGTTTCCCTTTTATCCTGAGTGTAAAACATTGTCAATGCTTTGTTGCAGGCTTGGAGCTTTTCTTCGTCAGTTTGAGACGGCTACGAATTTGCCAGAGGTAGCGGGGACAATGATTACTTCCAACATGACAAAGCCGTTTTTTCAGAGAGCTGGCGATGCACAAGGAATGTAAGAATAGAACTCCAAGTTAATGGTGAAGATGACAAGTTAATCCATTGAGTTTAATATAGTTCAGTGGTCATGTTCAATGGGAGCGTCTCTGATCATTATCTGGTATAAATACCAACAACCTTCACTGATTATGCAGACTTGTCTCACGGACTTCAGTAAGTCAGCACCATCTTCCTTTTCTCTCTCATATTTGTGGTTATACTTTCACTATGTTTTATGTCTAACAATATTATGGTTTGATATGTACAGTAGATATGCTCTCGGTTATATTTTCCATTTCCGTTTCATTAGAAATAATGTGATTTTTAATGTTTGGGTGTGTAATTTCTAGCTAAATTGGTATATTGGCTGTTGTTGGTGTCATAGATTTTCTTCCGTCAAAAGTTGCCTTTGTAGAAATCGTTTTCATGTCCATTGTGTTTTTAAGATTATTTAACGCGGTGTATATCACATGCCGGGGCTATCTAACTCTGGTTTAAACTCTGAATTTTGGTTTTGATTCATAAAATAAGTAGACTTACATCGAAAGGGTGCGTTGCGGTGTACGCCGAATAAGTACACGTTATGAAAAAGGTCCTGTATCCGTATGTAACCCTATCATATCATGTCATGGCGCCAAACCCTAATCTTCCTATCTCGTTTATTGTGTGTCAATGTTACATGACCGTCTCTCTGTTTTATAAGCCTTGTGACTGAAAATGTACATATCTGTTTTTGAAATTTGTATTACTTTTATACATCAAATCATATAGAACTTTCATGTGCTCATTTCTTCGCCAAATGCTGCCGATAAAGATCACTTTAAAAACAAACTTTGACTAATAACGGTCTGTATAATTATGTTAGTCATTTCCGCGTCATTCAATGTTCTCAAATCGTGGAAAGAGTTCCATAATAATGTACCCCCGCTAAATATTAGGACATATTCTTTCTATCTCTCATTGTCTAACCCTAACCCTAGCCTTTCCCATGTTTATATTATATTATTATATTATTATTAGGTATATCACTCTGAAACATATCTATATATTCTTTTTTTTTTTCAATTTTAGTAGGGGGGTACATAATGGAACTTTAGCCCGACTGGTAATTGTTGTTGCTGTTTTATTGTTTTTTAGTTGATGTTTGTAATAGTTTGTTTAATCGATGTTTATCATAAAATCCTGAATGTTTACACCGGGTACCAAGGCTGTATCGGCCTCCTCTCATGTTCATACATATTCACCCCATACATATTAATTTCACATCATTTGCATATTATCCATTCATCTCCACCATTCATCTCAACCATTCATCTCCACCATTCATCTCCACCACATACCAACTCTTAAAGCTAGAACAGGTGGTATGTTCGCTTCTCATTTGCATATTTCCACTTCTTACTTATCATTGGTTCTCTTCTCCTTTTTCTTATGAATATTTAGTTTTATTCTTAAAGTCTATTGTGCTACAGGCGCGTACATAGGGGGGGGGTGTTTGGGGGGTTACCCCCCCCCCCTCTTTGGTATTTTTTTGTGTGTAAACCCCCCCCCCCCCCTTTGGATTTTTTTTTTTTTTTTTTTTTATTAAAAAATAAAAAATAAAAAAATAAAAAATATTCCCATGGCTGACCTGGAAAAAGCTGACCTTACCCCCCCCCCCCCCAACGGAGCAAAATGTCAAATTTCCAAATTTCGAGACCTAAAAAAAAAAAAAAAAAAATGTCCTCTTGAAATTACAAAAAAAAATCCGCCTACCGCCCCTACTCCACAAAAGCAATCGAGGACGACCAAATGATTTTTTGTTTTGCCTAATGGTCTCCTATCGTGTTCCCCTGTTACAACGGAACACCAGGCTTCTATCTCACCCTGGGTGTTAAGATCACGTAATCTCACACTGACTTAATTAACCCCTCATCCACTCACCTTCAGCCATTGGTCATATGGTTTAACTTCTTTCTTTTCTTGCTCTCAACCTCCAGGGGAGTCTCTGGCCATTTCATGTGAAGATGGTACAGAAAGGAAACTGTGTTTGGAGCCATCAACTGCTTTCCTGGATCCTGCTTGTCACCTGAACTGTGATGACCCAAACATCAGGTTTCGACACTGGATGGATGAGAAGCAGATTTCATTGGATCATGGTGGTAAGAAAGTCATGTGTAGCATTTGCTTCTCATTTTAAGGGTGTTTTAGGGAAGGGCCAAATACAGAATACACATTTTGGGGGAATATTTCGAACCGATTTTCATTTGTTTGGCAATGTTTGTATCATGCAAACCTTCGTTGGCTGTTCAAAATAAACAAGACGAAAACGAAGTATAACATGAGAGGAAGGGTGTTATGTAGAAAAATTTCATTTCTTAAAGAAGCATATAAAACCCTCAAAAATTAGCAAATAATCTGATGTGAAAATATGGGCCAGTGCAAAAACACAGGAAACCACCCCTATTTGATTACTTCGTAAAGTGAGTAGTTTCAGGGTTCTTTGGCACAGGTTCATATTTTATTAGATTATCTGCTAATTGTTTTGCGTTTCATTCTTCTTTAAGAGCCATTCGGAATGGAACGCTATAAGGATGCATACGTTTTAAAAAATTCGAATATGTACTCTCCTTAATTTTTTGTTTAATTTCTGTTACTGTCCTTTCCGTATATATTACATTCCTTTGTCTTTTGGAATTCCAGTCATGAATCTATATTATGGGTTAGGTTGTAGAGCTTTGCTCTGTAAGAAACTGAATTTCTTTTCCTTCTAAGTCTAACTAGAATGTAGTATACTTAATAACTGGCTGGGATACGGTGTCCTGTGAATGATGAGCCTACCGGGCCCCACCCCTTATACGGCACGCCCAGTCAGTTCATTCTTCTTTTTTTAGAGCTTTGTTCTATCAGAAACACATTTTTCCCCCTCTAAGTCTAACTAGAATTTAGTGTAGTTAATAACTGGTTGGGAGACAGTGTCCTGTGAATGATGAGCCTACCGGGTCCGCCCCTTAAACTGTATTTTTAAGGGCACGCCCAGTCAGTTTTGTCTTCTTCTTTTTTTCTTTTTTGTATCTAGAGCTTTGTTCTGACAGAAACACAATTTTTTTTCCCTTCTAAGTCTTACTAGAATTTATTGTAGTTAATAACTGTCTGGGAGACAGTGTCCTGTGAATGATGAGCCTACCGAGCACCGCCCCTTAAACTGTAGGAGAACGGCACGCCCAGTCTGTTTCTTCTTCTTTTTTTTAGATCTTTGTTCTATCAGAAACACAATTCACCCCCCCCCCTCTAAGTCTAACTAGAATTGAGTGTAGTTAATAACTGGCTGGGAGACGGTGTCCTGTGAATGATGAGC